AAATATAATATTAAAAATTTAAATTATTAATTAAAAACTTGTAATACAAGTGATTTTGTATCACGAATCGGCAATTTTGAATAATAACATTATCTACTATACGATACGATTATATATATGCAGTTATCTTTGTTACTATTCTGCATACTAGAATCTTTTTTTAAGTATTTTTTTAAGTATTATACATTTTGTTCGCGCCCGTAATATTATTATTGTAATGTTAGATGAAAGCTAATAGATGGGTATTTATATGCTCTTCGATAGATATCGTAACAAGTGATATATTTTTTCAGAATAAATGCAATGTATAAGTCGATACAAATGCGCATATCTATAAGAGAGTTGAATCTTTCACAATGTCATAGCAGATAATCGTTTCGACGATCAGAGCACAATCTGTTCACAATAAGATTTTTTTCAAATGAAGCGGTGTCCTAGAAAATCCTTTCCTAGTTCAATCAGAGGATCACAGTTTCTCGGGACACGATAATAATATCGCGGTTAATGTCTGCAATACCCCTAAATAAAAGAAAAATTCTTCAATTTGGATTAGTAATCAGTATATAAAAATATCAAAATGCTGATAATCAAGAATTAATCAATATATATTTATTATAGATTTCCTTAAACTATAATATTAATTGCCGTTAAATTAACTAAAAAATTGCCTGGAATATGTAGAATTCTATTCCAGCCAAACTGAAGTCAAAAATATACACTCATCCTTTATTTAACTTAATAGAGATCTGCAAGAGATAATAACAGAAAAGGGTTTCTATATGAGAAATTTCTCTGAATAAACTGTTCACAAATCTTATAAACAATAAGTGCTCGCGAACATGTCACCTTGAATGGCTTGTGTTCTAATTTGCAATATGATAATATTTACAATGTACAATTAAATTATGCTTACAAAATATTGTCCATTGTATTTACATAGTATTTTGATTAATTTTTAATCTATATAAATTTTCAATAATAATAAATTATTACAATTATTATAATTATAATCCTTATTACAATTATAATTCTTATGATTATAATCCTTATAAATATGTACTAATATAAATATAACTAATGATTGCAGTCCTTAAATTAATTATTATTGCTCTCCGAATGTGGATCCTGATGGGTTGATTCGCTTTTAATTTCTGCAAAGTGAGCTCGAATCCTCCATTTAAAAAAAGCAAATTTATGGAGCGTGTGATGATATAAATCGCCTATCAATACCTTCCGCGATTGCGAAATCATAAATTGATTGTTGATTTTTACCAAAAAAATTCGTAGATTCTCTGTAGTTCATTTCGAGCGCTTACAAGATTGGTTTCTTTATTAGAAGAAATTTCGCGACATCGACATCTACGCGAAAGAAATCTACTCTAATAGTTTTAAAAATATTCCATTGTGAGATTCGTGGTGATTTTAGATAAACTGTCTTAGTAGTTAAACAAATAAATACGCACAAATAGATCTTTTTTGTCATCTTGCGCGTTCACATCTTTAATTAGAAACAGCATAATCCATGTCCGTGTTGTAAAAAGGTATCTGAATTCGAATCCTAGCTGCGAATAGTTGGCACATTAGGTAGCTTGTCTTAATCCTGGATTCTGTCCTATGCATCGTATACCTATCGTATACATAAACGATATTGGTCACATACTACTAGCACGTCTCATATAATGCTCTAACTGCAAATGGCCAACATTGTCTATGGATTAATAATAGATTGAAGATAAATTCACAACCAATATGCAACAATCGCTTGTGTTCGCATAATGAGCTTTGTAATAAACTCTCTCTTTGACAATATAATAAGATATCGCTATTCATATTTACTCGATCAAGTCTGAAGATTGTCGACAAAGAGACACCATAATATGCTACACAGTGCGATTTCTCTTCCCGTATCTATATTCCCGATCTCCTATAATATAATCGCAAATGTTCGCGATTATAACCTAAGATATTCATTCTCCGCAAGATCAAGATGGAGCATACTGAGAAGATAACTCGGTTGACTGGTCGATATTGTAGGAATTTTGTGAATCAGAAATTCACGCGCAAACCGACCAATAGAATCTTAAGCAATATACGATTATTCATATCTGTCGCGCAAAATTTGAATACTTATGGAAAGCAAGAAATTCTGGTCGCGCTATGTTATTATTATCATACAAATTGAGGTCCGTTCCTTGGATAATTCCAATGGCAATGATTTGATGATAGGTCTTTCATGACAATTCCGCAATAATCAGTATGGATCGTTCTATCAAAGATGCACATTTTGCAAAACAAATGATCGCTTTTTTCACGACAAGAGAGTAACAGGATTTTCCTCGGGCACCATTCACTTCGTGAAACGGTCTGTATCTTTTGCTAATTCTGCCAACAATAAGACTCCACATAATTTCAAATGTGGCAAACTAATTGTTTTAAAAACAACACACAATTTTGTACATAGTAAGCGGAGCGTTGCGCTTTCTAAACCATCGGAAATATATATACACGCCATAAACTCTTTTTGAGACGTGGCAAAATCCATGTAATTCCACTATGTTTCCGTTACTTAATGCGTATTATAGAAAGATTATATGGTAATATGTTGCAAGAATTTAAGATTTGATTGATGCTCTTTGAATTCGGTAAAAATATTCTGGAGCACCGATTCGTCTCAAAATCCAATTGACAGAGTGTTTTTAGACAGATTAATAATTTCATATAGAACATCTATTAAATCGAGAGAATCGAAAATTCGTGCTATTTCTGAAAAAAAATAGTTTTCTTTGTAATTCGGAAAGCAAGTAGATTGTTTATTTCAATGTTTAAGTGATCCAGAGTTGGTTCCCAATATAAGCCAAAAGTTCGAGGATTCTTATCAATTTGGAGGGCAACGAATATAGACTCGTCCACAAGATTTTTGATAATTGAGGACTCGTTTGAAGCCCATTTTCGTAATTCTAATCTAGCCGATCGTAGAAAAACATCTTTTTCTTCTTTAATTGTGGTTGCCTTTTTTATGCTGTTAAAAAGTCAATATAAAAATCGCGTAATATCGCTTGATTCATAGCTAGATGCGTTGCAATATTATCTAATCCCATCTGGTGCAGTACGCGCGTAGCTAAATAAGAAGCCCATGCAGTGTCATTCGTCACGATATTTAACTCATATATTGCTATAGATTTTTAAGGGATATCTCTCCATAATATATATTGGATTATAGAGAATGGAGCATTTTTATCAAAACATTTTCTCGATATTGACATTTGGGGATGTGAAAATGGATTAAAATTGATAAGAGATTTTCCTGTCAGCTCGATTGATAATTTCGCAGAAATTGAATACATTGAATATTATAAATAGTCATATTTTGGTGGTTGTATTGATAACGATATGATATGGTAAATAAAAATTGGGATTTGTATTGCGAATTTGAATTTTTATCTTCGTCAAGTGGTTCAATACGATATTTCTGCATGAACGCCACATATTGCAACGCACATGATCTTGAGAATTATCATTCTAAATTGCAGAATCGCTTTTTCGCCAAGTCGCGCCAAGTCGCGCGAGTCGCCCAATCCGTGAATGTCTTCGATGAATGGAATATTAACAATATAATATATAATATAATAATTCGCCTATTTGAATCCTGTATAACCGTTTTTATAAAATGACTTTCACATGAGTAATTAGTTATTTCTTCATTGAGCGATATATTTTTCAACTTCTGCGTTATTTATTTATTAAGTTGGTCGTTCGTAATTATGTTGCAAATTTGTAACTCTGGATCTGGAACAACTGAAAACTCATTTCAATTGTGATTTAATAAGAATAGATAAACCTTTTTCTAATCTATATTGCGATCTATATTGTCCTAATGTCTTACAAATGGAACATAGAATTACGAATCTGCTGAAATAATATAAAGATGAAATGTAGATCGATGTTTAAGAAATTCTGAAATTAGAAATGTTAGAAATAACCCTATCCATCAATAACACATATGTGTGCATCTGAAAGCTAGTTCAATACGAATTCTATCATGTATGGATCATTCACGTCAATAGTCTCAACATCCGAAATTTGATAGGATGAACTAGGAAGCTTGAGACGCTTCGCTAAAATTTTTATGATATTTATTTGAGAACTTTGATCTAATAATGCTTGACATTCATGTCTTCTTTCTATGTTGTTAATAATTAATATAATTGATAGTTGTCGAAATGATTTGTTTGTCAGCACAATACGCGGATTGTGTGCGCATGCTTCTCTTCCCAGCCTCAATGATGTGAGTCATTTAGTAATGTATAATAAAGTGTGATGTTCAATATAACATTGTCTAAATTCATTGTTGCATTGCGGCTTAGCTCTATGTGCCACTCGAAGATAATTAAAATAAACTTTCAATTCCTTGATATGGATGATTACTGATTGCGAGAGCCTTAAACTCCTTGCACTGCGAGAGTGTAACGAAGAGCAAAACGGCTATGCTGGTTTTTTGGCAGTTATTAGCGCGACAGTTTTTGAGTGTGGATTTCATTATTAGTGCGGTAATAGTACTTGAAATGACTTTAAATAAAAATTTATATCGAGAAAAGTCTGAAGATCGCTTAAAGTTTTTCTGTAACCTGTTCGCATATGCGCTTTTTCCATTCAATCACTTGTTGAATTTAGTTTTATTTCTAGCAGATGCGCCAAAAGAGTTCCATTAATCGACGAGTTCTTATTGTGATTTCAAAGACATTATTAGTAAAATCATCTATTAATTGGTGCAAGGCATTTCGCCGAATCTATCGATACTGGAGATAGTTGAAATAATGCACCCATGTGATCAACTAATTCAATTGTAATCAACTAATTCTCCGTATCGTTCATACATAATTTCAACGCAATCAAATAATTATCGTCAAAAATTTTAATATTCAGACAGCCTCTCCCTTTAACACGAATTTTAAATAATAAAATTTCTCAATGTTGGTGATTCATTATGTTTTATTTCATTGATTCGAAGCTATCACAAAAAAAGATCCATTCGCCATGAAAACTTGGCAGAGAGGGACCGAAGTAGAGCCGATGTCTCGAATATCGCTGATGATGCATTTGTGAGTCTGATAGATGGATTTGACTACGCCTGTGCCTGTAAGTGTCCATATATTTCATTGATAATGTCGATATACAAATTTTTGAAATTTTCGCGAAAATGGTGCGTTTTTTTATCCATAAATCGCTATTAGTGATTCTAATCTTGTAACTTCAAATTTCACTTAATGTTACGTTTGGGTTCAGCCGCTTCTGAAAGGAGTCGGTTGAAGTAATTTTCTCATGTATATATCACAGCAATTTTTGAATTTTGTTAAATTAGATTTGAACCGGCTACGTTCATCAATTAATTTCTTAGCTCATCGTTTGAGTATATCATCTTTTAAGAAATAAGGCTTAATAAATACTCAATTCACCGAAAATAGGTAGGATTAAAGATGGATATCACCTGATTAATCCTCATCATTCCTTACCTGGAAATCAATGGTTGTTTGCAGGAATCCAATATCCATTGAGCATTATCCTCCAAAAAAGTGAAGTGGCTCTTCTCTCGTGGAATGTACACTTGTAGTAGGGATCTCGAATCAGTAACTGGTTTCTTCAACATTCTTGTATTTGTTTGAATCTACTAACTATCGAAGAATTAATGTTTAGTGCTTGTGTATTATTATTGTAGTGATAATAATAGGATGGTGATAATAATAATATGGAAGCTAATAGATGGAATTTATAGAATGCTCTTCCGATAGTCAGAATGTAATCTGATCACAATGAAATTTTCTTTCAAGTGAAGCTCAATGCCCTTAGAAAATCCTTTTCTAGTTCAATCAGGAGAATCACACTTTTCCAGTGGAGCACGATAATAATATCGCAGTTAATGCCTGCAATACTTCTAAGTAAAAGAAAAATTCTTCAAATTAGATTAGTAATCAATATACAAAAATATCAAGATGCTGATAATCAGAAATTAATCAACGTATATTTATTATAGATTTCCTCGAATTATGATGTTGAGTCAATTGTGTCTGGAATATGTAGGATTCTACTCCAGTCAGGCTCAAGTCAAAAATATATAATATTATATATGTCAACTAAATTTTTCTCAAAAACAATAGTCTTTTCAAATAACATCATTCTTTGTTTAAAGATCTGAGAGCAAAATAATGACAGAAAAGGATTTTTATACGAGAAATTTCTCCGAATACATAAATCTCGCAAACAATAACACATTTCTTCTTAATTATTAATCATCTAATTCAATATTGTAATTATTCTTTCAGTATAATAATATTTAAAAATTGTAAAAAAATTACTCGTGTTGTCATATTTCACTTGAAATTTCCGATCACAAATAATATATTTTTCTTTATATTGACTTATTTTTATAAAATAATTATTTAAATATTAATTATTTATAAAAATAATATATTATTTTTATAATATTTTGCCACATAAAATTTTTCTTCTTAACACTTTTCTCTTTATGAATTAGATTACTATTATTTAATTATTCTTGTCACTGATATAAAATATTTTAATATGTAATTTACAATATTATATTATTTTATATTATATGAATTCTCTACTTTCAAACTACATGATATCGCATAATCAAATAAATTAATACAGTGATATTATATAACATGTGTGACAATTTGTAAACAATTTTAACTAAATGACTAACTGGAAATATTCTTAAACATTGTATATATTTCATAACTTGGAGCCTTTATTATGAATCATATTATTGAGAAAAATAGAATATACAAATGAAATGTGAATTAAAATAATAATAATGAAAGAAAAGATTCGTTTGACAATATTTTATAAAAATAAATAAATATAAAATACAATAAATGCTACTGTTTGTAATCTCCAAATGAAATATGACAATTAAAACCATTGATAAAACAATTATTATAATTATAATTGAAATATATAATATTCAAATAAAGATTATTTTTTAAATAAATAACAATAACAATTGTACGTAACATAATATTGGATTTAAACTAGAAAATTTAAAAAATAAAGAAGAAATAAAGATAATAGAAGCTATTATAAGAATAAAGTTTTTAGAATATTTCAATAAAAGAAACGACAAAATTAAAGAATAATTTTATGCAATTCTGTGAAAACTTTTCATATACTTACAATGATAATAAATTATTATTAATATTAGCAAATGACTTATTATAAAATATTATAGTATTTATAATATTAACGAAAAGAATTAAACTTAATAATTATAAGAAAAGAATTAAACTTATAATAATAAGAAAATCTGAAAAAATTGTTTTCTTTATTTTAATTTAAAATAAAACAACTTTTTGCATATTATATGTGTATTGCTTCCTTTTTTATAGATTTCTACATTTTATATACAATTATACATGATAACATGAAAACAATTTCAAATTAAAAAATTTAAGATAAATTTGAAAATTTAATGACATTTTCCAAATTGAATTTCGAATTCCGAATTAATATTTGAATTTCAAAATTACAGATATTCACATATTCTGTAATTAATATTTTTAGTAAAAAAAATTGTAGATAAAAATTTGATTTTAAAAAAAATATAATTTTTCGTGAATATTTTTTTTTTATAATTAAATACACAAAAAACATATTATATTTAAATTTATTTTTCTCAAATAAAATTATATTTATAATTATATATATATCTATTAACTAATATTTTCTATTACATTAATTAATCACATTGATAATTTTCTGGAAATAAGTAATAATTTCTTCATATTAAAAAAACCATTAATTTGATAAATATTTTTAAGTTTGTAAAATTCAAAGTAAAATGTTCTTAATACTAATAATTTTTTTAATAAAAATTATCAATAGAATCAACTATCAATACAATAAATGTACATAACTTCATTTAAAAAAATACATTTAACTTTATGTCTTTTATGCATCTACTTAGAAAACATAAAAAAAAAACTATTTATATACTTTTTGAAATCATTCAAATTATATTTAAAATATTTATTATTTTATTATTTATATTATATTTAAAATATCAATAAAAATGATTTTCATTACGTGTTCTATCCTTAAGTATTTTATATAATTACATATTGAACTAGATATTCTCATTTTAAATATTTGTTGTAGACAAACATTTTGCAAAAAAAAAAAATAAAAAATGTTGAATTTCCAAATTTCATTTGAATTATTCATGATTTTTTCATTCATTCAAAGTTATTTTAAAATCATGATGCTATAAAGCGTTGATATTTATTATAATATTGTCGATATTATAATTACAATATCTTCTTGATATCTATTATAATATTGCATTATAAAAAACATATATTATTATGCGAAAAATATTGATAATCTAAAATCAATGCAAAAAAAAAAAAGAAATTACAAAAAATATCACGAATCACTATGTTTGTCATTCCAAACAACTTTATTCTGACAATTTTTTATATCGACAAAAATAACTAATATTAAAGAATTCATAAATGAAATCATGTATATGTATATAAAAAAAATATATAAAAACTAAATATGTTTTCTTAAATTTATTTATTTGAATTTTCCGAATATTTTATAATCCGAAAGATTTTCGACTATTTTTTTTAACTAGTATAAATCTCAAAAAAAAAAAAAAATTAAATTTATGATCTGAATAAATTATTTTATTATATAATTGAAATTTATTTTAAATTTTTTTATATTACATATATGATAAAGGATATTTATATGAGATAGTCTTAATTAATTGTGAAATTAATTAATATATTATAAATTATTTAATATATTTATAAATTATTATATTTATAAATTAATTAATATGCGAATAATGAATCTTAATTAATATGCGAATAATGAATCTTAATTAATATGCGAAAAATAGAGAATCAAACTCTGACTTTTTTAAATCACCATTTTTTATATATTTCTAACATAATATAATAATTTACTTTGTATAATGCTATACAATCTTTATCAGTCTATCATATAGTTTTTTATTCATTTTCTACAGTATTAATATATTCATGAGATATTTTCGAAAGATTAATTCTAAAGATTAAACAAATATAAAATTGATGTAAAGATTGCAAATATATCGATTGAAACTTATTTAAAATTTATTTAAAACTTTTATTTAAATTATTAAATTATAAGATTAAATTATAAATAAGTTTACATTAGCGAGATGGAGAGAGAATAGAAACCGTTTTATCTTCTATCGCAATCTTATTCTATATCTGTCTTTCATCTAACACAAATTTCGATTATTGTGTTTAAAATTTATAAATAAACTTTAACTAGAGTTGAGCAATAATCAAGTACACTTTAAATATTATTGAAATTGATTACAGAAAATGATTATAATAATTAATTATTAATTAAAATCATTAATTATCACAAAGTAATAATAGTTAAAATAATCTTATAACAATCTCAAAATACGTTGAAAAATCAACCAAGAAATTGTTTCGAATGAATTTTTTGATTTTGAGAATAATATCATTTAAATTATATTGTACATTTTATTTATGAACAACAATTAAATTTAAATATTATCGATCAATATTAATTCGTATATAGAAAAAGTTTTTCTTTTATATAACATGCCATCAATTTGTTTTCAGTTTTTATTAACAAAACATTATTGTTAACAATAATAAATGTAACAAAAACACATAAATTATTAAATGAAATATTTGAAATGAAATTATATTAAAAGTAAATATTATATTTGCAGATTGAAATTATATTTGCATATATTAAAATAAATAATTTATTCTGTGTCTTAAAATTATGTAAATAATAAAAATCTATTTTTCAATAAATATAATTTGTAGTATTCTTCTTATAAATAAATTATTGATTCAATTTTGATCAAAAATATAATTATCTTAATGATGTTAATTAATGATTGTTAAATTAATAATGATCTTTGATTATAATAATTATGATTTTTATTAATGATTATTATTGTATATGATTATTATTTAATAATCAGTGATTAATAAAAATAGCCTAATCTAAACCAATATTTTTATATATAAACGTTTGTATTTTCATCTTTAAAATTGGTTCTTTAAAATATTCCTATATATAAAGTACATTCTAAGTAAATAAATAGTTTTATTTGATCGAACTAATCGAGAAAATTTATTTTAAATTAAATTAAATTCGATTTATTTTTTCGCAAAAGTTTCAATTCAATAATAGCAATAATAGCAAATAATAAACTTGTAAGTCAATTCCAAACAACATAGTAACTTTATATTTTTATAGATTTCTCATTTTTGAATCTCTTATTTTGTAGCTGATTTTAAACAAAAATGAAGTAAAAAATAACGATTATTTATTTTATTTATTTATTTATTTTAAGTTAGAAAATAATTGTTTATGTGTTCATACTAATATTCGCGAATTGTTTGCTAATATAGACTCAGCACTACAAATCAAGATTTTATATTATTTGTTGTTTTAAAAATTTATTCTTTTATATTCTTTATAACATATTTAATCAGTATGAGTATATATGATAACAATTGTCATTATTTAAATTATTTCTAATGAAACATTGTTATGAATGTAGTAATATTTTTATTAGAAACAAGTTGAAATCTAGTTTTTAGAATCG